ATTCCTGGCTGTTGGAAAGTGACGACCCTCGAGGCGGCGCCGTTCCGTCAGCGATCAATCCACCATCAGCACTTCCGGGCTGCGTGAATGACGAAAGCGAATCGCTAATGGGTGCGGATGCTGCCCGGACAAGCCCCGGGTGCGGCGACACGATGCCGCCATCCACGCCGTTGGCCGAGTCTGTCGTCGTGACCGAATTCATGGTGGACATGCTCGTGGACATTGATCCGGTTGAAGCAAAGCGTGTATGCGGTGCAGCACCAGCACCAGGCTGGACAGTTGTTGTTGTGGTCGAAATTGAACCCAGGCTCGTTGAGACGACGCCAGTCACGGGAGGTGGACCAGATGCAAGTGATAATGAATTGGCTGATTGGTACGTTGATCGGCGCTTGTTGTCGGACGACGACGAGAGAAAGGAGGGAAGAAATGAGCGCGACGGACGGGCAATTGGCTCATCAAACTTGATGTTGGGGGACACGCGAATGCGCCCATTAACAACATCGGCACACACATCCCACCATTGTGTCTTTTCCTGAAAGAACGGGTTGGTGACTCCAGCAATGTACCCTGGACTGGAGCACTTGGTCAGTTCAATTGAAATGGTCCGGCACCAAAGGGGATCAGATCAGACGTTGACGTACCATGCAAGAAGTTGATCAACATTGGCCAGGCAGGTATAAGGAAATGCCCGCTCGGTAAAGCCGCGCAATACCGCTCCACAGCCGGATGCCAGGGCACACGCTGCGAGCACGTAGTTTGCGATTTCGCCCGCGGGCAGGTTGTGTGCGACAAAGAGCACACGATGATGGGTAAGAATGGCGTTGAGAAGCACGAGAATGGCAGGTGTACTTGCACCGTGTGGATGTAAAGCGGGATGGTGAGGCGCTGGGAATGGCGGATGCGCGGCAAACTTTGTAAAGAGTTTGATCATGGAAAACTGCGTTGAGATAAAAGGACCATTAGCAAGCGAAATTAGCAAGCGGAAACAAAAAAAAAAAAAGGAATGGTAAACATGTACATCGGTCACCTCTTCGGTCAATGAGATGAATGTCATGGGAATGCGAAGCGATAAAATGGTGTTACCATACTTGATGGACGTTTCGTGAAAGTTTGGGTCCTTGTTGGTTTTTGCCGATTGTGTGCTGCTGAGCGGATTGGGTGCACCACTTGTAGAGAGGGCAGGAGCCATGCTGATCCGGCGAATGTCACCAGCGGGTTGATGCTGCTGTTGGTGTTGCTGCTCTGGTGGATGAATAGCCAGTCGTTCGAGCAGCAGTGAAGAGGACCCGTTGTCGGCATTACGGAGGATTAAACGCTCGGCACGTGTCAGCGTAGGCATCGCAGACAGGTCCATTGCGTTTATGGATGCAAAGAGATTTGCGAGGATGGCTTGGTTTGGATTCTCCAGGAAGTCGGTGATTGCAAGGACAAGGGCAGGCTAACAATAGAGTACATGTATCAGAGCCGGCTGAGGAAACTGCCAACGAGCGAGTTGCCGTCAACATACCTTGAAAACGTGCACAAAATGATGTTTTGACGCGACAGCCATGGCCATCATCCTTGCGCCGCGCTTGGTCGTAGGATCCATCTTGGTAGAAACATGGTTGAGGACAAAAAGAAGCCGCTGGTCACTCTCTGAGCGGTCTTGGTCCTGCCGTTGGTTGAGGAAGAAGACAGTCCAGTCAGATGATCGCAAATGGGCGCCTTCGGGCAGCATGAGCTCGGCCAGCGTTCTATCAAGTGCAAAGCATGTGTCAGAATAACACAAGTCCGGGCCCACGGCATTCGCCGCCAGCGATAGCGATAGAGAGAGTGGTGGAAGCAGACTCTTTCTTGGTGCCAGACTCGGTTGGGTACTCGTGGGAGAGCAACGAGCCACGGTCTTCGTCAAATACGGCCGCAAAGATGTACTCAACGTGACGCACGGGCGGTCGCGCGAGAGCAGCCGACGCTTGAGGCATAGCGGCAGGCCGCTTGATTGGGGTGGCGGGAAGCATGCTTGGCACAGGAAGGGTCGCGGTGCCGGGTGCTGTTGGCGCCAGGCGAGGCCGTGAGTGTGGTTTTTGTGGTGGAAGGGATAATTTGGGCACGATTGCGTCAAGTCGGGGAGGCGATTTATGTGTACATGGCATGGCCTGCGTTTACTGATTGTCGTGCTACATCACTATTCATACGCTCGCTGTAGAGTCGAATCGTCGTCAGTTCCTCGCTGATCCAAGTCGCCTTCCAGTTCCACTGTACGGACGGCATCACTTACGACAAGAATCGGTGCCCACCCTGAATCAATGAAAATGAACGTAGACACATTCATCACTCGGCGAAAATGCGGCGCACCTACCGTCCTCGGGCGTCCATTCAACCATGACGGCATGCTCGCAACAATTGCAGACCGACGTCAAGACTCTTTGCGCGTCGACACGTTGGTATGGAAAACCCCCCACCTCTGCTGAGCAAACTCGTCAATGCGGTGCGGAATGACAAAGAACCTCGGTAGATTCAATCCGTCTCCGCAACCGCAGATGGCAATCGCCAGCGCTTCGAACGGGAAAAGCATCAAATGGTCTGGCGGTCGTACTGGACGAGGTTGGAGAAGCAACGGTTTGTCGTGCTCAAAATCACCATTCCCACACCGTCCCTTCACGTTATTGACTATCCACGAGGATATCTGTCCTAAAAGAATATCACTCGAGCGCGATTTGGTTGATTTGACAAGCGCCATGTGCACCAGTCCAACTTTCGAGGTTGATGACGCAGAGGAAATGCTGGATTTGTTGGAATCGGCTCGGCGGGCAAAGCGCGATTTGGCATCAGAGAGTCATGGTATGCATAGCCATTCACTGGGTCTTGGCATTGTCATGAATTGTCGATTTGACGTTCCGAGATGCAGATATTCGCCAACATCTTGGACGCATCCAGTCTCTTCGCTCATTCAAAAAACTCAAGCTGGACGACATCGCGAAAGTCAAATCAAAACTTGAAGAATCCACAATCCCCAGTGACGGCACAAGTCTCGATTCCGAGCAAGACGAGTTTGGGCAGCTCGTGGACATGATTGAGCTGGAGGATGCCCTTGCCAAGGACTACTTAGTCAGAGACACGATGCAGGGCGATGCGGGCGCAATATCGATCGTGGTGGATGCTAGGGATATGGACGGTCATTCCGAGTGTGTCCTGGCCGAGTTGGATAAGTGCGCAAACGTCTCTTTTTGCTGTTGACGATGTACTCGAACTCAGAGGCCGTTGGTACATTTGCAAACAAAAACAGAATGGAGTCGACGGCAACTCAAAACCTCCTCTCTTTGCTACAAGAAATTGTTCGTCAAAGCCTCATGACTAACCACGCAGTATCAATCGATCGAGTGGCCAAAGTTGTTGACGAGTACTCAGGCGTGACTCGCAATCGCCACTCGCTTCTGTCCAAACGACTGTCCATGGAGCTTCCCACTGCAAATCAGCGGACCATCAGCGACATGATTGACTTTGCCGCAACAATACGGCGCCAGCGTGCCCTGTTTGAAACGGGCATGCAACAGTTTCAGCTTGCACAGCGGCAGCGTGTGCATGGCCTGGTGGACTCGGCAAAGAAGTGGCGAAATGCGCAACTGGATTCTCGCTTGGCAGCGACTGCTCTCGAGCAGCAGCTGGCTCACGCACAGGAAACACACCAAATGATTCAAGCTTGGCGCGCGCAAGTCGCGTACGACGAGGCACAGGACAAGGAGCGCGCGGCCAAAGTCCGCGAGCAAGAACAAGCAGCGCGGGAACGCGAGGAACGGAGGCGACAGTCGGAACGGGAAAGAATTGTGAGCGAGGGACTCTTACGGAGGCAAGCTTTGGAGCGACAGAGGGAGCAAGAAGAGCGTAAGGCGAGCGAGCTGCAGTTACTGGCTGCACGGCAGCGCAAGCAAGAGATGGAACTGGGCAAGGAGCGCGTTGCACAGCGAAATGCAAAGCGCGAGGCTGAGCTCACACGGATTCGACAAGAGAGGGAGCAAGCGGCACGGGATGAGGAGAGGGCCATGCAGGAGCGGTTGGAAAAGTTACGACGGGTTGTGACAGAACGAATCCACGTTGAACGGTAAGTCTCTTCCATCCAAATATTTCCGATACCCATCCATCCACTCATTTCGTTTGTGCCTTGATCCAACCCACAGCGACCCATCGCGTCTTGAGCAGCTAACTGAAGCTCGTCGAGCCGCCTGCCAGCAGAAATCGGAAGGCGCCTTGTTCCCAGTCCATGGCTACGCCGACGCTGTCGTGTTTCGCGATCCTCGTGCCCGTTTACTTCAAATGCTTGGCGAGAGCAGCGCAGGAGCTGGCAACGTCGGGGATAATCGCAGTCTGGTTCACGCCATGACCAAGGCGACTCGCAGCTATCTGGCCAAGGTAATGGCCGAGATGAACCCTTCCGCTGGATACTCTAGGGATTGGAAAAGCCAGATTTCTTTGGGACAAGACATGCAAGAAAGTTAACAAGTGTTGCCAGCCATGGCCGGTCATGTGAATCAACCATTTCGAACTTTTATCCCTTCACACACACGGGGTGGGAGGCTATGCCGCCCTGAGGTTTGTCGGGCTTTGCAAAAACCAAAACAGAACAAGCAAAAGCAATCGACAGCGACAGGATTCGAACCTGTGCAGGCAGAGCCTAATTGATTTCGAGTCAATCCCCTTAACCGCTCGGGCACGCTGTCTTGTTGTGATTTTGGCTCAGAAATACACCGGATATACATATATCGCTGACGCCAGAATCAGAAATGATCATTGCAAGCCGAAAACTAGAGATCATAGTGCAATTATGGTTGGATTGTTCCGTTGACATTCTGCAGTGTCGATCAGGGATCGCGGAGCAAACGAGTGGACGTGACCGAGACGCGACTCTGTTCGAAATATGCCACGAGATCGCAAAACGAAAAGTTCTACCAAAACCGCACTACATCATTGTATGAAATTGATGCCATCCTCCCTATCCACCAAAAGCATTTCAAAACAATCACAAATACCCCCCACGGGGCTCGAACCCGTGGCCTCATGATTAAAAGTCACGCGCTCTACCGACTGAGCTAGGGGGGCTTACATTACGCGCCCTCTTAAGGCCAAAAGTGACAATATCGCTACGAAACCCTGCGCAATCGACTCAGCGCATCAACTTACGTACCCTGTCCAAAAATCTCGCCAAACGGACTATTTGTGACCATGGCCGACCCTGGCACCCAAACAATGGGTGGTCCGCCCCCGCTCGATCAAGCCCCAGTCGATACTGTCACTCTTGCTACCTCCGCTTCCGATTCCACTACTGCCCGCCGTTCTGCCGCCCTCCGTATCACTGTCCCGTCTGACGATGACGACAAGATGGACGAAGACTTGCCCACTCCTACCCGCCCTGCTCACGCCCAACGTTTCCTCGCCTCCTGCCTGCTCGCGGACATGCCCGGTGCGGGCAGAACCGAAAAGCTCAACAACGCCCGCTTCCAATACCTTACTGGCGACGCCGACCGCTGCGCCTGCGACTTTTCGATCCCGCGTACCTTTGACGCCGACGGCAAACGCACCCCGGACCTCGATCACCTTGTGGTCGAGTTTTACACGGAAAGCGGTCGCGACAACGCAATCGCACACGCTCGCCCCTTGCCCAACTCGAACGGAGCGTCGACAAAGCTTGACGCGTACAACCCCTCCCCCGCCACTGCCAAACTTGAGGAACTGTCCTCCGTCGTATACCTGTACGACGCCCCTGCCACCATCGTCCCGTCTGCCATCGTCCCACGCCTTTTGGAGAAACTGCCCAATGACGCCAAGGTCAAGGTGTTCACGCCCGACGTGTACGACCGTTTCTACGGCGTGTGGCGGGTCGTGCTCTCGGGCCCCAACCATTCGGTCCATGCGCAAATGCTGCAGCTCCTCGGCAGGATTGCTGTTGCCGGGCACATTGCCCGCATTACGAACACGTACACGTCGGCTCGCAACTGCCGTCGCACAGACCGCCCCGCTTCCCTTCACCTGTACGGTGTCCCGGCTGGTGCGACCGACATTCTCATCGGCATGGCCCTCAGAAAGGCCGACCTTGATGCGGTGTCCTGGCGCATTGAGTACAACCGCGACGGCAAAAAGCTCTCTCGAGCCGTCGTCGTTTTCGATTCGGCCGAGGTTGCCGCCGCCGCTGCCCGTGTCAAGGTCACGTACACATGGCACAATCTCAATGCTGACCTCGTTTGGTCGCCCATGGACTCTCCGTTGTGCTTCTCGTGCCACCAGGCTGGGCACGGTGTTTCCACGTGTGCCCGCCTCCGAACCACACGCGCCGCTCAACAAGCCCGCAAGGCCATCAACGATGCTGTCAAAGCCGCTCCCACTAACGCACAAATGATCCCCCTCCGCTCCGTTGCCCCCTCCCTAGTGCGCAATGGTCTCTCCTTCCGTGACGTTGCCGCCGCAGGCACACCCAACCCCGACTTTCCTGCCCTTCCCGCCCGCCCGGCTGCTTCCCCCCAGCAACCCCAAAAACCGACGGCCGCCGACACCAAGATCGACAGCCTCCAGCGGCGGATCGATTCTCTTTCCGCACAATTCGCCGCCACCACGACCAACGCGGCGCCTCCCACGCATGCGTCCCTCGAGCAAGCGGTCACGACTGCTGTTGCCGCAGCTGTTGCCCCTCTACAGCAACAAGTCAGCGCCCTCTCCGACACCATCAGGGAGCTCCGCGCAGAGAACGACATGCTCCGTCAGCTCACGCAAGTGACGGTTGCCGCATCCCACGAAGCGACCACGGGCATTGCCGGGAACACGAGGGCCTCGAAACGTGCAAAGACGGACAGTGCTAACTCTGGCTCTTCCAACCCCTCCTTCTCTCCAGCATCTCTCCTTACACAGGCCCAACTCGACGCGCTTGTCCGCAACACCGCACACATGATTTGGTTGAACCAAGGCCAGTTCCATGACTCGGTCGTCAAGAGCCTCGAATCAAGTCTCCAGCGGACCCTGGCTGGGGTGATGCACCAGCTCAGCGAGGTTGCAGGCCGGCAACTGGCGACACCGCTTGTGACACTGGCCAAGCCCGACACCACACCGCAGTTTGTCACTCAGTACATTGCTGATCCCGGCGTCCAAACCCAGCAGCAGCAACAATGAGTAGTGATCCACAACCACCACCACCCATACCCCCGATACCCAACCTCCGCGTCAATCTCGCCATTGCGAATTGCAGGGGCGTACACAGTCAAGCTGCTCTCAGCAAGCTGATTGCGCTCTTGGAGTTTGCACTCGGTGGGCTCGATGCAGACGTTATTTTCCTTAACGAAACAAAAGCAACCACTAACTCTTTAAAAAATGCCACTCGATTCACCTCTCTTCCTTTTTCGTTTTTCTCCACAGTGGATTCGTCCCACCCGATGGGTAGCGGTGTCGCCATTGCTATCCGACGCTCACTCTGTTGTTACCTAGATCCTGTTTCTCACCTCACTGGCTATGCCACCCACCTTCCCCTACGCCTCGCAACTGGTCGCAAACTCCACCTCGTCTCTGTTTACCTCTCACCTGATACCAATCGCATCGTTCCCACGTCGTACCTACCCTCCCGCCTCCGTGCTAACCTCCCGCCTGCTCTTCCACTGGCCCGAGCCATGTCCATTTTTCTCCATGACGTGTGTCAACGTGCTCTTGATGCGGGCGACCATGTTGTGCTCGGTGGCGATTGGAACTGCAGCGACGGCTCACCCCGCGCTGCTCTTCTCCACACGCTCGAAACTCGGCATCGTTTGCTTGATGTTGCTACCGTCTTCAACAACGAACAGCCCACCCACCACCGCAATCGGCTCGACCGGATCCTTGTCGACGACCAGCTCGGCCACTACCTGAATGGGTACAATGTCACTTGGCCCCACGACACGCCCGACAACCCGCTGCTTGGTCTTGACCATGCCATCGTGTCCACACGAACAAGCATTGGTACGCTTCTTGATCGTGATCTGTTTCGAAAAATTGCGTCTGCTGCCCGCAATGCGCAACGCGAGGTCCTCGACCTTGCCGAGTGCACCACAAAGACGTGGGAGGCGTACAGCGGTGAGTGTGCGCGATCCGTGGCGGAAGCAGACGTACTCTCACTCATTGCTCAGGGCACGCCTGAGTCGCTGGAGGCAGCGCAAGCCGCTCTTCAAAAAGTGTGGATGGACTCGGCCAAGGCCAAGCTCAAGTACCGCAAGGCCGGTGGCAAGTCCGCGTTCACGGAACCTCGACGGCGCCTGTCAAAGTCGCCGGAAGGGTACCACATCCTCAAACTCGACCAATGGCGCAAACAAGGCTTCCCATTGCCCGGCCCACAATCCACGTTTGACCGTCTCGCCGAGCTGGGCATCAACCCGCCAGGCCCGACCGAGTCCGAGTGCGCCCGTTACTGCTCAGCGGCCCGCCAAGCGCTGTCAACCATTGTCCTCGTCCGCGAGCAGGCACAGCTGTCGGAGAAGATTGCCACGGCCGTCAAAAGCCGCTTTGAGTCTGCCCCACACGCAATTGCTGAGCTGGTACGGCGCATCTTTGACCGCACGCGACCGGTTTCGGCCGTCGACTCGGTTCGGGATGGCGACCGGCTCTCTTTTGATCCGGACGACATTGTTGCCCAGATCGCCGTGCTCATGTCGGCAAGCTTCAAAGGCGAGGACTTTGACATTGACGGTTTCGGCGAGTACTGGGCGCGTGCGTGGGCGCCAAAGTCACACGACAAGATTCCGCCCGAGGCGTGGGTAGGTGTCATGGCCGCCATCACGGTTGAGGAGTTGACTGAAGTGTTGCAGTCGGTGGGCGTTGACAAGGCACCTGGCGTGAGTCAAATCACGATGCGCATGATTCGCGAATCGGGCCCAGAGTGTCTTGAGGCGCTTGCCGCGCTGTGCACTGCGTGCTTGGAGCAGGAACGGGTGCCAGAGGCATGGAAAGAGGGCTCGATCTACCTGTTGCCCAAGTCCGAGGAGGGCTTTGTTGGGTTGACGGAGGGGATGCGGCCGATTACGTTGCTCGAGTGTGCCAGCAAACTTCTTATGAAAGTACTGTTGACTCGTATATACAAGGTCATGCTTTCATATCCAGTGTTGGAGGGTGCCTGTCACTCCACCTTGCCGGGGACCGATGCATCGACGCCGATCGCCATTCTTCACGCCGCCTTTGAGCAGCAGTGGGCACAAGGGTACGTACCCGGCCATGCCGCCGGCAAGGGCCAGCTTTTTGCGTTTTTCGAGGACAAGTCCAAGGCCTTCGACTCAGTTCCACACGAAGCCCTGCGGCTGGCCCTCCGTCGGATCAACATGCCCGAGTCTTTTATTTCTTTCTACTGCGACGGGTACTTGGCGGGTCGGGTGGCGCGAGTCATCACGTCATACGGTTTGTCAGACCCCGTACCGATTGAGCGAGGGGTGCCGCAAGGCGCCGTCGAGTCGCCGCTGATGTGGGCCATCTTTTACGATGTTCTCTTGTCGGCAGTGAATACTGACCCCGCCATCCAAGGCGTCACTCTCCGTGCACAGACCAACATTGTCTCGGTCGGTGCCCCCAACAGACAACGGGACAAGGGCAAGCTCCTTGGCAAGGCTCGCGTCGCGGGTATGGCGTTCGTTGATGACGCAGTGTTTGTTGCCACGACACGGGGCGACATGGACCGAATATTGCGGCGTGTTGAGCAATTCAACGAGATGACCAACGTCCGATCCAACCCAAAGAAGGGAGCGGTTTGGATTTTGCATGGGGCGGACAAGGACGAGAGCGACCCGTTTACCATTCACGGTCAAGACATTCCGCGGGTGAATGACATGACTTCGTTTCGGTACTTGGGCATTTGGGTGGACCACCGTTTCCGCGGTACCAGCGCTCGCAAGTCCATGTTGGATGTGTTTCGGCGGTGCATCCCGCTGCTGAGGCGCAAGGCGGTGACGGGCAAGATGGCTGTATGGCTCTTGAACGTTGTCGTTTTCCCTAGCGCCCTGTACCGGACGCTTGGCTTTGTGCCCACACCAACGACTCTGAACGTCTGCAACTCGATGGCGACTGGGCTCGTCAAGCGCAAGCTCGGCCTACCCGTCAATCAC